TCTTTAGGGGCTGTTTGGTTCGTTTCCTTGATATAGAGAAATGCAATTCCATGTAAAGAAACACAAGTTTTGAGTTTTCCAAACTTTTCCAAGAAATAGATTGTTTTGCTTTGGTTCGCACATAAAAAATGGTGAGAAACCAATGTATTTATTTTTCTTGTGTTTGGTTCGCATAGAAAAAAAAGGAAAACTTTTGTAAACAAAGCAGAAAAGGAAAAAAATCTGACGTGGCAGAGTTTTCATCAATTTCACTCGGTTGGGGAAGGAAATTTGAGAGGGAAAAAAATCTGAGTTGGCGGTGATTTCAACAGAGTTTTCCCTCTTCTATCCGAGCGAACCAAAGCGGCACAAAGAAATGGACGGAAACAAAAAAACTGACGTGGAGGGCTAAAAATCTGACGTGGAGGGGTTTTCTGAGTTTTCCACCCCTTATAATAGCGAACCAAACAGCCCCTAAATCACAAACTTGCACAAATCCAGTGGGAAACAAGGGTAGAAGTTCTATTTAAGTTCCACACAAGCTCGAGACGGTAGCAACCTTAGACTGCTCTAGAGGGCTAATTTTCGGAAAACCTCCCTCTTAACTTTGGATTATATTAGATAATTTTACATCTTTAGTAAATTACTGAAATAGCAAAACATTATTATCAATAAACAACTACGGTTTGAAAATCAAAGTGAAGAATATTGGAAAATAAAGATTTTAACTTAATTTAAAAACAATATTAGTTATTTGATTTTTTTTCCCCTCTCTATATTTCACCATCCAAGTATATTTCTAAATTTAATCTTCAAATCCTGATATTTCTAAAAAGGCCAAATTTCTAAAAACCTCGCTTAACTTTCCATGATTGTCAATAACACCAATCGCTTTCAAGATATCAAAATGTTAAATTTAAAATGAATCATAACCATCAATTAAATTCAACTCTTGCACAAATATGCTATGATTTCAATCCAGTTGGAGACAATGTGTCAACTATGACCCAAACAAGCATAATGACAGCTAATAATGCATCTAACAAATAGCTGAACGTTATCAAACATGACAATAACATATCCTACAATGAAAGATGACAAAGCTTTCGGAATTTTACTAGCTTACGATCTTGCTTTAGAACAGATAAACATAAATTAACATAAAATCAGCAGCAGGAGTACATAATCTCAGTTAAATTAGCAGATTTACATTTATTCAATTACCCAACCTACCATAACATTACACTTCTCTAACACAGACCAAACTCTCAACTTACATTTCTCTACCTCACAGCTCATAAAGTCACACTTCTCTTAGATACCATGTAGAGAAGATAGTGAAAGGGGCATTATCAAGAACACAATACTAGCAAAAACCAGCAATTATGCATATATCATCAATCAATCACGATCATGCCATTCATCGTCCATTGCCAAATTGAACCCATATTTACGTGCAAGGCGAGGGGCGCTGCTATCTTGCATCACACTTTCAATCATCTCAAACTTATTGTAGTGTGCTTTCAATGTCTCTTCCTGCTGCTTTGCGAGCTTCTCCTCTTCGTCAAGTGTAGCCTGAAAAATGTGAAGTTCAGAAAAGAATGAGAGCACCATAGTGTGGTGAGGAAATGTTAGTACTTAAATATCTTTAATCGCCCCAGTAACTCCAGAGTTATGGCAAGAATTGTGAATTGAGGGTTATAATTTTATATTCTAGCATGCTCGACACATTGAGCGCATTTTCATGAGCCGAAACATGGACTCACTCACATAGTAGCGTTTGTTTAATCCACTTTTAATTGCACGGCTAGTGGGATTTGAACATGGATTGTGTTGATACCATTTTAAAGTCCCTTCCACTGCCAGAAAACTCCGACAACTCCAAAGATTTGGTTAAGAGTTGGGAGTTATAATTTTATTATCTAACAGTAAGATTCTAATGTGTTTTGGTAAAGTCGAGGAGTTATAATTTATAATCTGACAGTAAGATTCTAATGTGTACATTCAATTCGAGAATAAATATGCTAAGAAAGTGATTTTATTTTCGACCGGTTCATTGAATTTCTATTGGAAAAGAAAGTCAAGAATGGAAGAATGTAATATAAGTGAAAATTCATTTTTAAAAGCTTTAAAAAGTAAGGATATTATACAGGTGGGTCCTGTATACAAGTCATAGAACCAATGAAGAAAAGAAAAGTCTCAAACAACTAAACGTAATTAGGCTAACTATGCACAATACTAAACTAGTAGTTTTTTTAATTATCAACTCCTCTCTAGTACTTTGGTTTTGGAAGGTGGATCCTGTATACAAATCGTAGAACCAATTAAGAAAAGAAAAGTCTCAAATAACTAAACGTAATTAGGCCAACTATGCACAATACTAAACTAGTAGGGTTTTTTTATCAACTCCTCTTTAGTACTTTGGATTTGGAATAACAACCATCCCCCCCCCCCCCCAACAAAAAAAAACCAAAAAAACGAAAAAGAAAAAGAAAAACAGCACTCAAAGGGCACTACGAAGAAAAGTTTCATCATCCTTGCACCATATCAGGGAAATTAAAAGATGAATAAGGGTAACGAGATTATTGTTTCCATCTACTCCTCTATGCAAATGGGAGTACCAAAGATTCAGTATTCATGCTACAGTAATGCTACAGTAACTTTACTATAGCATTATTACTGCAGCAAACATGGACCTAGTAATGCAGGTTTTTGAAAAATACTGTAGCGCACGGGAATCGGGATACTGTAGCATAGGAAGATACTGCAGCAAAAAATAAAAATTTGATGTAGCAGAATGGGATTACTGTAGTGGGAAAAATTTTGTTCACACTAGTGTATATATATATATACACCCAATTCTCATGTTGGGAGATTTTGAAATAATTTAAGGATTCAAGTGGGATAGTATCAAAATGCAAAAAAATTATGTCAGAGTTTTAGCAGTGAAATGCTACTACATTTGGATTCCAGTCGTTTGTGCAATAGATAGCAATATATAAAGGCTTAAACAATAACTTACACAGTGTACACACAATGCATCAGTTTTAACTAAGAACTCGAACATGAAATTGACTGAATAGAGTCACCAGCTGCAGGACCGAATCTATGGTTGGTTACAACAAAATATGTTCTCCATTGTGAGATGATTCTACCAATAAGATCAAGGTAAGCAAAATAAAGAACGCAAAATAAAAAATTGAATAAGAAAATTCAATACTTCTATCAATTAACTATCTGCAAGCAGGAAATTTTCAGTAAAACTAACATCATAATGATTGAATCCATTGGACAAAAGCAAAACAAATTAGACTTCATTAATATAAAGTAGAACAACAGAAAGTAGAGTTTACCTCAATGTTAGTCCCTTAAATCTTTAATATTTTGAAATGAACCCCTCCAATCATTGAAATTGATATTAGCTCCCCCGATTCTAATAAGTTGTTTCAAATTAGCCCCTCTATTCAAGAGTATAAGTAGCAATTGGAAGGATTAATTTCAAACACTTACAAGAATTGAGGAACCTAATAGCAATTTCAATGATTTGTGTGACTATTTTCAAATTAACTTAAGAATTGGGGGACCTAATTGATTTGAGGGGCTACTTTCAAAATATTAAAGATTCAGGAGGCCAACATCGATATATGTTAATAGTCCAAAGTTTAAATGTAACATGTTACCTTGATCAGGGCCAATGTCTCAGCATTATGCTTTTTTGCTAGTTCCTTCAGCTTTTTCCCAACCTCAAACTCAGGATCAGAGGGTTCCACCCATCGTACTCTAATCTTTCTATCAGGATTTGACGGTCGATCAGCAAACATTTCATTGGTGGCAGCTTGCGCCGTTATAGGACGAGGCATCCCCGACATCATGAATGGGTAATTTGTAATATCAGCAACTACAGCTTTGGCTTGCTTCGGATTCTCCATTTCCACCAAAGCACAAGGGGGAATAGGATATGGTATAGTGTAGTTTGGAAGGAACTCCACATTGAGTACATTACCAAATTGCCCCAGCGCTGTTTCAATGACAGCAGATGTCACTTGAGGGGACAGATTGCTAAGAAACACCGTCCTCTTTACTTTTTCTTCGAATTCAGCATATTCTTTCCTAGCCTGCTTTAACTTTTCTTCAGATTGGGCGTTTTCCTTTTTGGCCAGCTCGTTGGACGTAGACATAGATTATTGCAGCCTATTCCACATGTTTTCCAATTTTATGTTAGAAATATCGCTTCAGCATAATAGGCATATAAGGTAATATTTCAGAATAGCCGTTGGTTATTAAATCCTCGTGTAAAAATTTCAATCCTTGGAATTTGCTAGCATAAGTTCTATTTCATACTCCGGTCTTTGGAATATAGGTCAAACCTTTCATGAACTCATGGTTAAAAAAATTGAAAACTTCCATGCCAAGATCAAGAAAATTCTATGTTCTGTGTCAAATACTAACGTTTTATCTTTTGCAAATTTAATGTATCGCCAGTAAACTGTATTAGAATATCAGGAGCTTCTCCCTAAATGTGTAACAAGTCTAAAACACCTTAGAGGAAGAGAAGAAAACCCGCTCAAGATGGAAACAAGATGAATAATGAACAAGGAAACTGAAGTCATATGATTCATACTTCGCTGCATAAATGACATAAATGTCATAGAACAAGATCAAGACATAACCAACACGGAAAGCGATCAGGATATATTTGTATCCATCAATAAAATTGGTAACATAATGTGGATTATACAAAAATCATTCACAACAAATTCCCTTAGAATGACAACGTTGCCACACGCAAAAGGAATACTAAGCATCCAACGCATGTGCTCGCAGTGTGTGCACAAACATGACACCATCATTATATCAGTATAAAAAAACGCGGAGCAACGTTCTAGTTCTACCTTTATCTAAAAGTTTGTATCAGTCATTTCCTATGTTGTAACTTAAAAATCACTAAAAACTCACAAGGTCATATAATGAAGATTATAACCCTTCAGTAAATAGTTTACGTTTGTTTTCTGTTGCGAATCAGAGTCACTAAAAGCTCACAAGGCCATATAATGAAGATTATATGCCTTTCACAACATAATGTGTGTGTGCACACATGCGCGCACACACACAGCCATACGAACCCCAAATTTTGGGAAAACATTCATCACAAGCCAAACGGCCAACCGTTCCCAGACGTGTATACACAAGAAAAAAAGTATAATAATAATAAAAGGATTCATCAGAATGATAAATGTATGGGCAACTCAGTAGCAGATTAACCAACCCTATAATTCTACAAGTTACTGAGACTTGTTTTGCGCAAAGTTGTCCTTGCTGCAACATACTAATGAAAATACAAAACAACCTAATCCTAGGTGCGGGTACAAGTTCACATTCATCAATATGATAAATATATTAATCAGGCCATAAGTAGAGGTTTACAGAATCCCAATATAACGAAGATTAATTTCATCTCTTATAAGTTATAGCTACCATAAAATATGTGTTTCTATAAGAAAACTTAATATGTATTTTGACATGAAATAAACAATTTACGGAACAAATTACATGCAAATAAGGGATCTTTCTCTTCGATCAACTTCCAAGTTTGAACAGAAATGCATAATAAATCAGATTGAACCCCCCAAATCCACAATCAACAAACACGACAAACCCCAGCAGTCCTATAATGTAGTTCAAAATTCCAACAATAACAACCTTTTCTTTTCCTTAGAATTTAACACTACCAATCTTTATACTGAAAAACAATAAACAAGTGAATAGAGCAAATTACTGTCAAAGAATGAATCTTTCTCCTCATTGTTTCTAGGTTTTTCAACTACACAAAGCAAAATAAATTGAACCCTAAAACCAACAATCAACAAACATGACATACATCCAACAGCCTTAAAACTCTAAAATTTCAAAATTTTGAGGCTAGGGTTTATAAGAACAGAATAGCACGATAATTTATTCCGCCAAAAACCTCTAAAGATCGAAACTTTATAAGAAAAATATATAGAACCAATCTAATTAAGAAAAATATGAAGCGAGAATTACCTGTTAGAAGAATGCTTTCTAGGGTTTGTGAGCTGAATTGCTACAATTCAAGCTTTTTAAAAATTTTTGAGGGTTTTAAAATGGGCCTTCTTTGGTTTTTATGCCCATTGAAGTTGGAGGTCGAAAGGTACGAAGTACAAACTTGAAAGGAGCAGAACAATTATCAGGTCAGGTCGGTTTCAAATGTCCCCAAAATCCAAGTGATTTCTATTGAATTTTATGAGTGTTTTTGTTGGTTCTTAAATTACTCTTAATTTGATATCGGTCCTAGAATTTTTTTACTTATTAAACTTCTATTTGTCGTTCAATTTATTTGATATTGGAAATAATATATATTTTTCCATTAGAATCATGAAATCAAACGTATTTAATAGTTCAACTACACCATTACTAATATATATAATATATGGATACTATCAATTTAAATTCTAAACTATTAGATGTGATTTCTCCATTTTGTCAGTGAACTCAATACTTATATGGGCATTCTCAATAACCCCCCATCGCAATTCATTATAATCCACTTGCATTCTATCTTTTTTTTTCCTTTGTTCATTGACGTTGTAGTTTGTACTTGGTTTCGTTCGTCGACATTGTAGACTTGTAGTTTGTAGTTTGTACTTGGTTCCTTTGGTTTTCATGAATATCTTTTCACAGTTGATTGTTGTTGAGGACATCTCTCTAGAATCCCAACTATGTCCAATATGTCTCATTGATGTTTTTTACTTTATTTTATTAATTAATAGGATTCGACATAATAAGAGTTTATTGTGATTGTTACAAGTACTACATCAGAATACATACCTGCACTTTGATAAACATATACTAATATCCTAGTACATGCGATGTATGCATGACAAAAAAGGTGATTTGTTAGGTTTTAATTGGGATTTTCCAACTGAAGGATATTTCAGTTGATTTTTCCAAGTATGAGAATATCTCCATAAGTTTCGCCAAGTGTAAGAGTATCTTTGTTGTTTTTTCCAAGTATTTCACTTAATTTCTTTAAGTGTGAGACTATTTCCATAGTTTTCTCCAAGTGTGAAGAGCTTTTTTGGAATTTAAAAAATGTGAGACACAAACCAAAAGAGAAGCTTTTCTTAATATATAATATAGATATAGATAGATAGATATATAACACCAATTAGACTGCTTGCTTGTACTATGTGTATGGCTTGTCTGAATGGCACTTGGGCTCAATTTGAACCCAATGCATAAGCCTAATGAACTTACTTATACCATGATCGCAATAACGGCTAACTTTGAGTTTCTAGCAACGATTCAAAATGAGTTCCATATGAAAGAGTTGGGAGTGTTTGGTGACAACACAAAATCCTAACCTGATATTAGTTGCCTTTATTATGTTTGATAAAATCTGGATAAGTTTTTCATAGGCCAAAAAAAATCTTAAGATTATTGTATCACTTCCGCTTTTATTTAATTCTAAACATGTTGAGAATAAAACTGGATCTGGATTGACCCAGCTTTTAGGTGGGTGGCAAACACACTCATGGCGCCTCTCCCCAATATAAAGCTATCGAATCTATGTATAGCTTTTCATTAAACCTTCCTTCACATTCAAATTGCTTCTCAAACCACTGATTTCATCTCTTAAGAGGGGAAACAATTGAGACGCCACAGTGCACATAGGCTCGCCAAGTCATTTCCATATTCCACAACCACCACTCTTGAAATAAAAATTGAAAAGGTAAAAATCAAATTCAAAGCTGCCATTGATGTAAATTTTGACAAATTTACTAACAAAAATCAACACAAACTTACATGTTAGTTTCGACATCTGTAAAATCTCCTCTCGAAATTTCCATCTGTCATTGATGTATAAAACTCACACTTCTTTCCATAGCTATAAATTTTCACCCCAAATCTCTTACATGCTTCGTTCCATCTCCGAATAGATATCAAACCATGGAATCCTTGTCGACTTTGTATGTTGCTGCTACTTGAACCTGATAGTGTTCAAGAGCTTGAGGTTGAAGAGGGCATGATTTCAAATTGAGAACCCTCAATTTCAGCCCTAATTTCATCAAAATTCCCAACTCCAAAAGATGCCCAATTTGATTTGTTTTGAGCCCCAAGTTAAAGGCTTCCCCAAATTTAACATCTCTACTACCTCTGCCACTCTGGCATATGCCACAAAATTAGCATGTGATACTACTATGCTAGAATTTGACCAACTATCAGTTTTTGGGGCTACTTGTCCATTGTAGCAACTTTAAATACCTTATTGTTGTCGCCTTGTTGGATGTATAAAATACACCAATGTGGTATTTATGTCCCACCAAATATACCAATATGGTAACTTAGCCATTAAATATGTTTGCGTTCGTGACTCAAATAAAAATATCATTTTCAGCATTAAATGAATTGAAGGACAAATAGAAGTTTTAAAAAAATTCTAGGGACCCACATCAAATCAAGACTAATTTAAAGAATCCATAAAAAACTCATAGAAATCCAACAGAAATCACTCGGATTTTGGGGATATTCGAAACTTACCCGACCAGAAAATGGTCTTGCTCCTATCTCGTTAGTACTTCGTACCTTTTGACATCAATAGTCATAAAAACCAAAAGAAATCCCTTTTCAAACCCTCAACAAATCTTTTGAAATATTAAAGAAACCCCTTTTCAAACACCTTGAATCTTTAATATTTTGAAAAAAGTCCCTCAAATCATTGAACTCGCTATTAGGTCCCCCAATTCTTAAGTTAATTTGAAATTATTTACATCAATATGAACATTTTAGCTTAAACATGAAACACTAGTAAAACAAAAAAAAAGGAAAGTCTATGAACATCAAGCTAATCTCTTGTTGGTACTTTTAAACCATTAGGCCTCCACAAAGCAACACGAAGGATGCAAGGATCTGATGCAGATCCTTCCCAGATTTTCCTCACATATAAATTAGCTAGATTAACACACAAGTATTAGTTGTTCCTTTATGTGTCACTACAGAATTGTAGCGATATGAATTGATTAGGACTAGATAACACTCTTTTCCTCTGCTAAATAATCTCTTTGTTAAATATCACTTTATTTACATAATTTATGTCATGTTCTTACTTAATCAGCCGACTTAGGGCCTTGTCTCCTTTAACCTCCCCCCTTCCCTTTTAAAACACTAGTATTACCTAAGGGACATGCAAGAATTTTAAAATCCAATAAGTTTCTGTCACCAAGCAACATAGTAGGGTAGTCGAATAAGATTCTAAGAGCCTGCTTTATTACTGAACAGCACAAGAACCCCTTCTCGTTAAACAAGAACTGTAATGATTGACTTCCCTAACTTTGCATACATTAGATTTTAACTCAAATATAAGAATAAGCAATAATAGAACATTTTATATATATAAAATACACAATAAAAAACAAGAGGCTAAATGGCTATTTTACATGGATTGCGACTACGTATGGTCCTAAGAAATTATACATCCATATAAACGCGCAGTTAATAATAAGATTACACAAAGAAAACTTAAATTATACATCAAAGGTATCATAAGAATGAGCAAGGCAATGCTTGACATAGAAAATTGAGGCAATGCTCATTCATGAGCTAACCATCTTGCTATTGGACAAAAATAGAACAAGTGATCTGATTTACCTGCGCTGAGCAATTCACTCGGATATTAAGTGTGTCCCTTCAAAGAGTGTAAAATCTGCAAAAATAATAATAACAGTAATAAATTGCAGAATGAGAATTATACTAACATATGAATCCTGGTCAAAAATATAAAACAACAAAGAAATTAATTCAAAAAAAGGCATCATCTTTCAAGCGTGCAGATAGTGATCTCCATTACCAATTGAACCAAAGTTGGTATACAGAAAAAGAAAAATAAAGGTGAAAGGTCGAACCCCAAAATCTCAATTTTGATCTAGGGTTAGGGTTTCGATGGAAGCGGAGGGGATTGACAGGGAGCTCGGTAGAGAAATCAATCGAGAGAATAGAGTTTCAATCTAGAATTTAGGGTTTAGGGTTTCGGTTGAACTGGAGATAGAGGATCACGACGATCTCACCGTTGTCGATGATTGCCCGTCGTCGCCAGAGGTGAGATTAGGGCTTGCGAGTCGTCATCGGTGATAGTCGTCGTCTCCGCCGCCGGTTGGATCCAGGAGTTAGGGTTTTGGTGGAACTGGAGAGAGAGAGAGAGATCGCGAGGGTCTTGGTGGAGAGAAGGAACAGGCTGAATCTACTTCTTTGTTACTAAACGACAACAACAAAAAATAAACAGTAAAATTTATCATTATCTACGTATTATAATTTTATTTTTATTTTTATTTATTCTCGTAAATAATGCTAAGATAAAAACTTCCTAAATAAACCACTCAACCCTCCTCGTACTGCCCCACGTTCTCTCTCTCCCTCTCTCTCTCTCTCTCACGTTCCCCATTTCGGAGTCGGTTACATCTACCCAAAAACACAAACAGTCGTGTTGACGGAGGCGTCCTCACTTCCACGGAAGTTTTCCACAAATTCAGCGACCCTCACTGGAAAACCCTAATAAAAAATAACCCTAAATTCCAGATTTGAACATTGTTATTGAATTTGGAAGGTTGCGAATTTGTTTGATGGGAGGAAAGAGTTCAACGGAATTCGGTGGAAGAAGCTTCAATCGAAGGTCTTCGTTTCAAGATCGGAGCTTTTCGCAGCAACAGTCATGGAATCAAGCTCCGAGTTATCAGGATTATCCTCCTCCCAAGTGTCCAACGTCAACGTAAAGCTTTGATTCTTATTCTCAGCCTTATGGGTACCCCCACCTCAGGCGTACCCGACGTCGCCTCAGCCCCACTCTCCGAAGCAAATTTCTTATGCCGAGGCCGCGGCCGAGGTTGGATAGGAGTTATTCGCAGATTGCCGATAACTACGGATCCCTCAAACAGGTATATCCTCTGATTTTTCATTGGTATAGTTTTTGTTGTATTTATAAACATATCATCAAAATTTATACTAACTTTGCACTTAATTCATGATAATTCATGTTAATTATAGTTTTATTGTAGGGATGAGGTGGCTATGATCGGTCATTGTCGTCGAGAAAATCAAGATGTGATCACTACTATAGGTAGGTAGCCTTTTAGTGTTTCATATTTAAAGATTTCCTCTTAAAGTTATGATATGTTGATTTGTTGAGATTTTATTTTAGTTTTAGGGAAATCATATTGATGTGGTTCTAGAATTTGATTCAATCAGACCATACAAACGAGGAAAACTTGCTAGCGATAAAATTTGAACCTCATGCAGTCAGATACTTGATTAGGGCTTATTTTTATTGTTCATGTTTGATTTAGATCATTTTTTTTCTATTCATGTTTGATTTTGATCAGTGTTTGATTCGTCATTTAAGAAAAATCTTTTTTTATTGCCTCTTTATCTTTATACTTTTTTTGATAGCTATTTCTTGGTTTTCAAACTTACTAGTGTATTATGATTACTTCTCCCTTAATTAATTCTTAAATGACTACATATTTATAGTTTACTTTTATTAAATATAGTTTTTTGGTTCATTGCTTAGTGATTAGATTGTGGAATTGCATTTAGGTAGTTGATTTGAGCAATATAAATTTTATGTGGTTTAGTGAAAATATAAAGCCCTTTGTAGGTTATAATACAAATTTTATATGGTTTAATACAAATTAGATTGGTGATTTAAATTTCTTTTAAGAACCAAAGTTGAAGGATTATTATCATGATAATGTTGAAGAGAATTTGAAATAAGTGAGTGTTTGCGTCAAAAGTTGGTTTTGCTGTGGAATTCATTATATCTTCGATCGATTACAATAAATTCAAAGAAATAGCCTTTTTATAAGACCTCTTTTACACAACAAAATGAAAAATTACAACTTTTTAGAAACAAACGCAGGATCGTTGTTTGGATCGCTGCTTGCGTGGGATCTTTGCCTGTGCCGGGAGCGCTTTGACTCGTGGACCACCAAATCACAGATTCTGATTGAATCGTGAGGGGTTTAATGATTCTTCCTTCGTTTATCGAAGTGAGAATTTGAAACGATATCTTATCAAAGTAAGATAGTCGTTCTTCTTGAAATCAAGTCAAAGCTCGAATATCAAGGAATGGCCGGAAGCTCAAGAACTCTGCTCTGTCTACTCTGAAGTGCTCCAAATGATCAGCCCCCCTTCAAAATGGCCTTCGGGGGGTATTTATAGCCCCTATGAACAGTTGGCGGAAAACATGCTCGCGAGACAGCATTTGCTGTCTCGGCTGTCGAGACAGTGTTTGCTGTCTCGGCGGGCGAGACAGTGTTTGCTGTCTCGGCCCGCGAGACAGTAAAGTGGGGCAGTTACAAAACCAATTTCTGATCTTTTGAAAGCTGTCTCCTGTGCGAGACAGCAAAGTCTGCCTCGCACGGCGAGACAGAAAAGTCTGTCTCGCACGGCGAGACAGAAAAGTCTGTCTCGCAAGGCGAGACAGAAAAGTCTGTCTCGCACGGTGAGACAGAAAAGTCTGTCTCACACGGCGAGACAGAAAAGGCTGTCTCGCGTGCGAGACAGTCTATACTTGTGTTCTTTTTGACATTTTGGATGACTTCCTTTTAAGCTGTGTTTGGATATCTCTCAGCATTTTTTGACGCCTACAGATACCCCCTCCAAAGTATTCCAGACTCAATCTTTTATAGAGGAGTTCTGGGATGCTTTGGATAAGATAGGTATTACTTATGATCCTTTCCATGCTTGGTTGGGTAGATCGTATAGAAGAACCTGTAGATGGCTTCAACACTTGATCTCTTTGTCTCTCAGTCTATTCAGTGCTTTGTAGAATAGCTAAGATCCTTTCGGCATAGCGTTCATCGCTTGACCGTTGTCGAGATCTTGAATTGAAGCTGAAATTTGTACTTGTAAATTCAGCTTTTGTCATCAAATTGATACCTCGTGTACCCGTTGGGGGGTAGCCAGGTTATTCTTAAGAATATTTTGAGTGATATTCTCCAGAAACTTCCTGTTGATGGTAGGGAAACAGTTTAGACTCGTGTACCTATTGGAGTAATATAGTCTCTTTTTTGTTGGTAGAGATGAACCCGATGATGGAGAGGAAGAATTTTATATTCTATCTCCTGGTCTCTTGTTTGTTGGTAGAGATAAACCCAATTATGGAGAGGAAGAATTTTATATTCTATCTCCTGGTCTCTTGTTTGTTGGTAGAGATAAACCCGAAATCGGAGAGGAAGAATTTTATATTCTATCTCCTGGTCTCTTGTTTGTTGGTAGAGATAAACCCGAAATCGGAGAGGAAGAATTTTATATTCTATCTCCTGGTCTCTTGTTTGTTGGTAGAGATAAACCCGAAATCGGAGAGGAAGAATTTTATATTCTATCTCCTGGTCTCTTGTTTGTTGGTAGAGATAAACCCGAAATCGGAGAGGAAGAATTTTATATTCTATCTCCTGGTCTCTTGTTTGTTGGTAGAGATGAACCCAGAATCGGAGAGGAAGAATTTTATATTCTATCTCCTGGTCTCTTGTTTGTTGGTAGAGATAAACCCAAAATCGGAGAGGAAGAATTTTATATTCTATCTCCTGGTCTCTTGTTTGTTGGTAGAGATGAACCCAGAATCGGAGAGGAAGAATTTTATATTATATCTCCTGGTCTTTTTTTTCGTTGGTAGAGATAAACCCAAAAATCAGAGATGAAGAATTTTGTATTCTATCTCCTGGTCTCTTGTTTGTTGGTAGAGATAAACCCAGAATCGGAGAGGAAGAATTTTATATTCTATCTCCTGGTCTCTTGTTTGTTGGTAGAGATAAACCCAGAATCGGAGAGGAAGAATTTTATATTCTATCTCCTGGTCTCTTGTTTGTTGGTAGAGATAAACCCAGAATCGGAGAGGAAGAATTAAGGATTATCCGTCAGCGAGCAGCGAGGACCAGATCTCCTTCCTTGAAGCTTCTCTGTCGGACTCTTTTGTTAAAGGCCCTAGATATTCGGGCTTGATAAAACTCAATTTGTTGTTGAGCTTCCAAGCGCTTTTCATCCAACATCTCGAGTTCTTCGAGACGTTTTTGATGTTGTTCTTCCGTCGTCATCTCGGTTGCGAGAGCGATCCGAAGAGATGGGATTTAAATCTCCAATGGTAGCACAGCTTCACATCCGTATACCAACGAATATGGGGTGGCCCCTGTGGGTGTGTGTATGGTGGTGCGATAAGCCCAAAGTGCTTCACCGAGTTTATCCACCCCCAGCTTCCTTTGCGAAACCGGGTTTAATATTGTACTCAGTTGGATAATCGAGAAGCAGTTTATACTCATATGCTCTTTGGAGTGTGGGGAAACAGTTTATACTCGTGCACCCACTGGAGTTGTATGGTCGTCTTTACTCGACTTCTTTCGTCGTTATGACACCGGAGTCAATTAGGGCTTGGATCTTATTTTTGAGTCCAAAGCAAATCTCGGTGGGATGAAGAACCCTTCTATGGTACGCACAGTAGTTTGGATCCGCAATCCTCTTAGCTCCATCCTGATCTTTAATAGGTGGTAGCTCGATTTTGTCATTAGCGAGGAGGTATTCTAATATGGCTGAAGCTTCATCATCTTCGAAAGAATATTCCTTTTGAAACCTCGGATCGAGAGTCGCATTCTCAACGATTGCAGATGTCATTGGTTGGCATCTCTCAGCTTTCTTTCTTTTAAGAAAGTGCTCAGCTTGTTCACCCCGAGATTTTAACTCCTTCCAAGTTGTGGATGGCACGACCCCCAGAGCTTCCAGGACATCGATGGAGAGGCTATTGTGGCATGTTTGCAGGATGAACTCCTCTGTAATAGGATCTCTGCAATTCATTGCTTTGTTACGGAAACGTTTGACAAAATTGTCAACTGACTCTCCGTCTTTTTGCTTCTCATCCAAAAGGGTTCCGATTGACATTTCGGTGTCATCATCGAAGAAATTGCTGAGAAACAAACTTTTCATGTCATCCCAGCAATTAATGCTCCCTGGCTTGAGCCGTCGGTACCAATCGAAGGCGGGCCCACGAAGGGTGCCAACGAATGACCGAACCATTAAAGCCTCGTTTCCAGAAATCATGCCTAAATGAGACTTGAAATAAATCAAGTGTTGAATAGGCGAGCTCTTCCCCTCAAACGGTGTGAAGTTAATCAGATTGAATTTGGCCGGGTATGGTATTGAATCCCATTCTCTTGGATAGGGACACGGAATACCTGTCTTTTTCCCTTCTTGAGCCGTCATCAAAGCGTTGATTTTGTTT